ACAAAGAAAGCGAGAGAAAGAGAAAGAACTCAGCAATGTCCTTCAACCTTACCAAAACGCAGTCAGAAAAAGAGATGACACCTGTATGCTAATTACCTGGTTCATACACCAGTGCAAAAGGTTGCATTAATTTTCTTCCTCGTTTTATCTCTAGCGAATTTCAACCGGGGTTCTCTTCCTTGTTGGTGCTTGTGAGAGAGGCAGACAGACAGACAAAGAGAGAGAGGGAGAGAGAAAATGAGATAAGAGAGGGAATAGAAATAAAAAATGTGAAAGAGGCAGACAGAGAGAGAGAGAGACAAGGCAATAAAGAGACATTCTGAGAGAGAGAAGGACAGTCTGAGAGAGAGGAAAAGAGAAAGAGACAGTCTGAGAGAGAGGAAAAGAGAAAGAGACAGTCTGAGAGAGAGAAAAAGAGAAAGAGACAGTCTGAGAGAGAGAGAAAGACAGTCTGAGAGAGAAAAAGAGAAAGAGACAGTCTGAGAGAGAGGAAAAGAGAAAGAGAAAGAGACAGTCTGAGAGAGAGAGAAAGACAGTCTGAGAGAGAAAAAGAGAAAGAGACAGTCTGAGAGAGAGGAAAAGAGAAAGAGACAGTCTGAGAGAGAGAAAAAGAGAAAGACAGAGAAAGAGAGAAACAGAGAGAGAAAAAGAGATAGAAACAGAAAGGGGAGGAAATCAGAAACTAATTCATCAGTTATTCTGGGCTGGTAATGATTACACACCTCCCCTTACAACACCCATACACTCTGAGGGTCACTTGTGTTAACGGTGAATTGACCTTATTCACCAAGTGTTGATAGCGTGTGTGTGTGTGTGTGTGTGTGTGTGTGTGTGTGTGTGTGTAATTTGTATTGTTTTATGTAAAGCTTGAAGGTATACCATAACTAAGCCAAAGGTATTCACTATGTCAACAACGTCAGTGATGCTTGGGCAACATGGATGAATATTCTGGCTTTGATCATTCGTATTTGGGTTAAAAAAAATAATGTGTTTGTTTTGAGGTTGTTTGATACATAATGGGTGGGTTTAACGAACAGACGTCACCAGAATGCCTTCAGTATCATGTGCAAGGTTCGATGTAATGGATGTGATTATTTCTGTAATCAACAGTGGTGAAAGTAATTAAAATCTTGGCTGAAACAACGTCAGTTCTGTGTGATATATAAAGCCTCTGTTGCCATGTTTGTCTATGTGATCAGAACCTCTCACCCGGGCGAGCTGGCGAGGTCCTCCGCAATAACTTGATGTATTTAATTTGTCAACAGAAATTGGATCGTGTCAACTTTAATAAAAATCACAGAAAATCTTGAAATTTGATAAATTATGAGTACTTTTTAACTTATTCCAGTGATGATAAACATGGTAAAAGGATAAAAAGTAATCATATACAGCATATATATATATATATATATATATATATATATATATATATATATATATATATATATATATATATATATATATATATATATATATATATTATACTGATTTCACATTACCGACCTGTATAGTATTGTGTAATAATAATAATAATAATAATAATAATAATAATAATAATAATAATTGTTAACGGTTTATTGAAAGCATGGCGGCCGGAAGGCTCTGATAATAATAAATAATAATAATTAGAGGTTTATTGAAAGAGCATGGCAGCCGGAAGGCTGAAAATATACAGTTACATAATTGAGGAATGGGTCTCATGATTTACAAATAATATACAAGTAACATAAGTGATACAAATATGATATATAATAACTAGGTGGGGAGAAGCTCAAACTACAGAGCATTTCAACATTGTGACAGTGCAAAAAGTAAGATTGACTGGGAGTGAATACACTGGTTGATTACAAGTTATTGATAATTTTTACATTAGTTGGGACTGGGCAGTTCTTATAGCGACCAGTTCGTGCTCGTATGGGCTGGATGCGGTTGTGGTGTCGAACAGCAATTCTCGGGCGAGGGATCTCAGGTGTGTGTTTGTGTGTGTGTGTGTGTGTGTGAACTATAAGTATTCGTGAGGTACAGGTGAACTGTGTTGAGCGAAAGATGGTGACAGTGGCGTACAACAGGGCAAAAATTTGGGACCCTAACATCAGCTGCCTGAGAGTAACATGGCCCCATATACCATAATAAAGTGCGTAGGAAATTGACTTACGCCATGTTACGTGAAGAAAAGTAACTTTAGATTAACGTAGAGACTTTTGAAGTGAATTGATCAAAAAGGGGGATGGGGGTAGGTCGTCTTTTTCCAGCACTGGCGTTCGTTACCGCTTGTCCTACTCATACCCATAAATAACAACCTTTTGGGACAAGCGACGAGAAAGAACGTATATTAAATCAACACACACACACACACACACACACACACACACACACACACACGACACGGATCACACGAGCTGATACACAACATGTGAGTTAAATACCGTTGAGAAATAATAGATAGATAGATAGATAGACAGTCTTTCTCTCTTTAATACGCAACAGTACCTTCCAATATACAGCAATTCTAAAGCTCTCTCTCTCTCTCTCTCCTCTCTCACCTCCCTCACACAATACCTCAGGCGAAGCACCAATATTTGCGTCCGGGTGTTCAGTAGGAGTAGCCTGGACCAACCCCCGCTAACACAAATATGTCAAGGTGGTGTATTGACCAGCGGGAGCCTCGGAGTCTTAGCGTGTCGTAGGTTAGATTCTTTCCTTCTACGTGCGCTGACATGGAGTATCTGACTCCCTTTTAAACTTAGACAAAAATATAGATTCTCAAAGATTCGTAAGTTAGGAAGTATCTGACTCCCTTTATATACAACATTGAAATATATTCTATAAAACTCGTAATTTTTTTTTTTGGGGGGGAGGGTGCTTTAGAGAACAGATCTGATTCACTTTATGCTACCAAATATAAAAAGATTCTCCAAGGTTCGTAAATTTAGGTTTTTGCCTTTATTTGATATAATGAGAGAATAACTAACTCTCTTAAGTTACTATACAAAGGCATATTCTCTCAAGTTCTCAAGATCAGTTCATTTCTAATGGGAGATGTGAGAATGTGTCTATAACAAAGATGGCCGCCACTATAATTTCCTCCATATTATACCACTAGAAAAAATTTTAATCTCGTTTTCTTTTTTATTCGCTCGTATAATCAATTTGTACGAAAAAAGAATTGTTTGTTAGAGAGAGATGTGTAGTAAAGCCATGACACTAATAAAACTCTTTCTGGCACGCAATAAAAACTCCAGAACTCACCGTAAAACACCACGGAAAAAAATTAAACTCACAAGTTGGCAACAGATCCAAGTGACAGTCACTGATCGCCAAAACCTTTCGTGTATCGATGTCTTCCTATACCATAAATATAAAAGTAATTGAAATAGAATGAAAATAACAATAAATGAATTAAAAAATAAATATAAGTAATTCAATATACAGAAAGACGATATTATTATCATTATTTAGTATTAATGGTATCATCATTGGTATCAAATCATCATCATTAGCATCAATACACTTATTCCTATCTATCTTACATTCCTCACCTCATTTACGCTTCACTGATAGACCAAAAGCAATAGTTTCAGATTATTTTAGACAATGTAGAAGAGAGTTTTCCAGTGTTATTCGTCCTGTGTTTAAGCTTCGAGTTAACCTAAAAACAAAGGGGAAGAGGAATCATTAGTTATGGCTACAGTGAGCTTATGTAGGACAAAGTTGGTCGAGTGATGAGATGATCTTGGGTTGTATCGTATTTTTTGCTTTCCTGTTTCTGTATTTGTGTTTATCATATCTATTCCCACTTTTATTAATCATTTCTCTATTATTGTGGGTTGTACTATGCTTATCTGTGTCTCTTTATATTTGTATTCGCTTTAGTTTTTATCTTTTATTTATTCGTATCTTTATCTGAGTTGTATTATTGTTCTTAATTCTCTTTATTTTTTTCTGTTTCTTTGGGCTATTCTCTTTTTTTTCTTTATCTCTTGCTTATCTTCTTCATCTGGGTTGAATTATGCTGCCCTATCTTTCTTTAATCTTGTATTTGCTTATTCCCTCTTTCCTTATCTCTCTCACTGTGTCTTCTTTATCATTCATTGCACTTAGCTTCTTTACATCTCTCTCTCTCTCTCTTCCTTATTCTGGGCTATATTATACTTGACGATTTCTCTCAATTCTTCTTCTACACTTCTCGTTCAATTCACCATTCCCTCTTCCCTATCTTTCTTCATTATCTCTCTATTGAGGACTGAAGTGGTCGTGTCATTTCCTATTCGTCTGTTTGTCTTTTTCTTATGCGTTTCATGTCTCCTTATTTCTCTTTCAATAGTTAGGCTAAAGTCTTATTTCTTCTTTCATTTTTATATCTCTTTTCTCTCTATCTATCTATCTATCTCATTCAGTATCCAACTATCCATGTATCTATAAAACTCTTAAAATATCAATCCTATGATTAAATATGACAGAGGAATGCACAGAACCCCCCCCTGCCACACACACACACACACACACACACAGTCAGCTGTTAGGTTAGGTTAGGTTAGGTTAGTTAGGTTAGGTTAGGTTAGGTTAGGTTAGGTTAGCCATCCTTGTCTTGCGCTACATAAAAGTACGTGTGATCATCCTCCAAAAAGCATGTAATGTACCGCCATCACCTTTCTCAAGACATAAACGGGAATTACATTGCAAAGCGTCGCAAACCTTCTCATCCTTATGGACGTAATGGTGGCCACTTAACCTTTATTTATCATGCAGGGTATAAAAAGCTGCCCTCAACTTTTTACTCCTAAGAAGGGCAGCTCTCTCTCTCTCTCTCTCTCTCTCTCTCTCTCTCTCTCTAATTAATTCCATCAGCCGACTGTGTGTACTATCTCTTCACAGCACGTAAGTCCATGAACCAGAGTTCCCTGGTATCAAAGACGTGGAAGTAAAATTAGTGAGGCAACATTGCGTCGGAGGAAGAGGAGGCGAGAGGAGTGAACAGGGGGCGGCTCAGTGTGGCCCAAGCCTTTGGAGGGAGAGTGCGCGATACCGCTCCCTCAGTTCCTACCAGTTGCATCATCACGCCTCGTCGTGGGAAGGGCACAGCCTGTAAAACACATTATACTTTCTTGATATTGGATAATGGTGACCAATGGTGATACAAAGTGGCGACCTTTGAAAGACATTGTAATGGATTTTTTGCCACTTTTTTCCGTAATGTAGTTTGAAAGGCACGTCAAGTTTTTCCCCGGCAATTCTATTATGATCGTGAGGTGAAAAAATTATACCAGAACTCACCATAAACACCAACACTAACTTACCACATATTTTTTTTTTTTGAATATTTAAATGCATATCATGAATAATATTATCTTGTAACTAACAGAAGTACGTGTGTTTGCACGGGAACTAAATGTTTATCAAATAATTGAATCTGAAAAAAAAAACGTTCGTAAATTAAGTCGTGTGACGTTTTTTGTTTATCTTTTCGTACTTGCTGTGTTTATCTCGAGGTTGATTTACATAATACCATGACCGGCTTGATCTACCCTACAGTGTGTTTTATTTTATATACGAAAGAATATATTTGTTTTTAATTAATTTCTTTCATAATGTTAGACTACGACACTGACTCGAGTAGATAGAAAATTTAATTATATATACTGTTGACGTTATTATTATTATTATTATTATTATTATTATTATTATTATTATTATTATTATTTTAAGAGAAATTCCTCGGCTCACTTCAACACTTCCACGTTATGTTGCAATTACAAATCAATTAGTACTGTAAATTGCTAATGTTACAATGAATACTGGTATTACTTTTAACTTATGAATCTAAAACTACCTCGTTAAATAAAACAATTACGAACAGAATAAACTATTACAATTTAATTCATATAAATTAATTCTTGTTTACTAACATCATCACTGGAACGACATATAAATTTGTGTGATTTTTTGTAATGTGGAAGTTAATTATATTCATGGATTGTGTAAATTCAAGTGTTTCAGAAATTATTATACAGTATAGTGAACTAGACTTGAACACACCCATCACCTGAGACACCTATATAAGACTATAACTTTGCTAAACTGTTCAAAACGCCGTCTACTATAGAAAATAACACATAACAAAAGGTGCTTATTAAACCCATGACAATTAAATCACCTTAACGAACGACAGAAAAAAATAATAAAAGTGGTATTTGAAACGACAAAAAAAGTTGGAGGAATATTAACACAATAAGACTGAACGTGACCACTGCCTCTCACATCAACACAGCCACTGCGAGCCACTGTGTTGAATGGCTATCATCGCTCCCTATCATCCCCGCAGTAGGTTATAGACCCGAGTGATAACACATTCAGAGCTATAATTACCTTCATGGTTATAGAGAAGTAAATATTATCTCTGGTGTTAACGTCAGTGATTATAGTAATAGTCGTAGTAGTCCTTTGTGTATTAAAATCAAATTATATCCAGCACCGTAATAAACCTTTGTGATTAAAAACAAATAAGCTTTTAACAACTATAAACTACACGATACCAGTGATACAGTGAAGTGAGTTACATTTCCTAGTTTGTATACCGTTTGCTACTTAAGCTTATTACCTTCAATTACTTTCTTGTTCTATTCGCGGTAAAAAAAAAACATTGTGATGACGTCCTTACTCCTGTATACATAGTGATTTGAACTTACTTAAAACCACCGCTGTCAACTGTGGACTGGGGATTGCCTTAAAGCCTCCACTGTGAACTGGGGATTACTTTGAAGCCTCCCTTGTGAACTGGGGATTACTTTAAAGCCTCCCCTGTGAACTGAGGATTACTTTGAAGCCTCCCTTGTGAACTGGGGATCAATCTGAAGCCTCTCTTGTGGAATGAGGATTACTCTAAAGCTTCCCTTGTTATCTAAGGATTAACTGAAGCCTTCCTTGTGGTTTGAGGTTTATCTGAAGCCTCCCTTGTAAGCTGGGGATTACAAGGATCTTGAAACCCGAGGCGTGACCCAGGTTGACCTCAAGAGAAGAAGGGACGATGCTGCTGCTGGCGGTAATGAGTGCCTTGGTGATAATGACCAACGCCCTGGAAATAAAGAGGCGGGTACAGACACTCTCTCATAAAGCCTTTGTATGACCCGAGAGACTTATATGTTAGAGAACTTAACTTAAGGGCCCCTCCCAGAGCTTAACTTACGGACCACTCACAATCACAAAGCTCGAGCGTTGACTGACTACAGCTCGAGCGTTGGACCAATCACAAAGCTCGAGCGTTGGACCACTCACAAATCTCGAGCGATGGACCACTGATAGAGCTCGGGTTCTGAGCCACTTAGAGAGCTTAACTCATTTACCACTTAAGAGCTTTACTTTTTCATCGATTTTGTTATGATTATATGATGACAGATATACATTTTGTGATATTTTTGTTTATCGTTTTCAAAATATAGAAATTGTGTATGATTTTACCCACTAATTGCATACCTGCAGTCAGCAACAGGACTTAATAACTATAACAACCTACATAGATAATACATGACAGTAAATGTATAAAAGTTAATTGTATCGAGTCTCGTTTATTCACATTTTATAAACCCCTAATAATCCCTAAATTAGCATAAAAGATAAGATAAATAACAACGTGTCATATTTCAGGATTTTCCCCACCCCAAGTCACCTCATTAAGGAAGAATCTTTGCCTTGCCATGACGCTGTATGCAAAAAAGGTCAGCCAGGACCCCTTAATCTGGCTCAGTGTACGGCAGTCCATTATGTTCCCTCCCAGAAGAGTATCTTTTTTAGACATGGTAATCCACTCTGTCTCACTCGACTCTGGTTCACGATTAATGGATAAGATTCAAGTTTCTTTTTTTTTTCCTGGGTTTGGTTTACCTTGTTGAACCCCTTGTTTAATTCGAGATAAAGTATGTTGATAGGTAGGAAGGATCACAGGTGAATGACGTTTTCTTTTAATTACGTGATAATGAGTTTATATATTTTAACTTGGTAAGACGACGCTTCAGGGGATTGATTTGAGAACACCTGTGTAATCTCCTTCTGTGTTTTATATGTGAAAATAACGTATATGTACATAACTTAATCGTAATTTGTATCATATAAATTGAACTGTATCGTAATTTGTATAATAGAAAAAAGTTTTATTTTCACTTAAATGTATTGTAATTTATGAGATAATTAAATTCAGAGTACGGTATTTTTTTGTCATTTGTATAATATTCTCGCGCGCGCGCGCGCGTGTGTGTGTGTGTGTGTGTGTGTGTGTGTGTGTGTGTGTGTGTGTCTGTGTGTGTGTCTGTGTAGTTGTAGTTGTAGTTATAATAGTAGTAGTAGTAGTATTGTAACACTTGCATTATTCCGATATACCGAAAATTCGTAACACATAATAGAGAAACACAATTTAATAACATACAACTCAAGGACCTGATATTGGTGCCACATTTAATACAAACTTGTTATATATATTTACAGATAAGATCCTTAATATTATTACTGTGTTGGGAGGGAGAGAATATATTGCTGTTTTATATTACCTGTTTCAAATATAAAGGTCATTTGAACTTTTTTTTACCTGTGTGTAATTAGCCTAGCGTGCACCTGTCCTGACCTCACTGATGAATGTTTATTTCACGTAAGGGATGATAATTTTGTTCTCGTGTAGTTTAACCCTTTGAGTACGATGATTTGATCCCCTTGAGTACAATGATTTAACCCCTTTGAGTACGATATAAATTCTCGTAAGTACATTATAAAGTATATCCCAAGTCATCTTTTTCTAGGGGCTTTGTCGTACTCAGGGGGTTAAATCATCGTACTTAAGCGTTCATGTAATCGTACTGAATAGGATGTCATCGTACTCTCCCTCTCCCTCGTCACCCTCTTTTATCCTCCATCTCTTTCCTTCCATCTCCTACTCTCCCTCAGTCTCCTTCACCCTCCATCATCCTCCATCTCCTCCTCTCTTTCCTACTCTCTCTCACTCTCCCTTACGACCCCTCACCTCTTTAATCCTCCACCCCTTCCCTCTCTCCTACTCTCCCTCCCTCCATGTTCTTCCCTCTCTCCTACTTTCCCTCCCTCCAACTCCTTCCCTCTCTCCTACTCTCCCTCCCTCCATGTCCTTCCCTCTCTCCTACTCTCCCTCCCTCCATTTTCTTCCCTCTCTCCTACTCTCCCTCCCTCCCCTCACTCTCCCTCACCTTCTTCCTACTCTCCTCCTCTCCCCTCACTGCCCCTCACCTTCTTTTCTTCCTACTCTCCCTCACTCTCCTCCTCTCCTCCACCTTCTTTCTTCCTACTCTCCCTCCTCTCCCTCCTCCTCCCCTCACCTTCTTTCTTCCTTCTCTCCCTCGCTCTCCCCTCACTCCCCCCTCACCTTCTTTCTCCCTCACTCTCCCTCACTCTCCCTCACTCTCCCTCACTCCACCACGTTACTCATGTTTCCGTGTGGCGTGAGAGAGACAATCTCTTTTCCCACCTGGCTGTCATTGACTCTTTCATCCGCTATTTTTGGAAGAGAGACATAGAGACAAGGAGATGGAGAGACAGAAAGGGAGAGGACGAGAAAGATAAGGAAGAGACGGAGTGAGAGAGAGATAGACAAGCAGACAGAGAGAGAGAGAGAGAGAGACTGAGACAGACAGACAGAAAGAGAGATAAAGAGCGCGAGAGAGAAAATTGGTGTCTAGAGAACTTACTTTTAACACAGAGAAAGAAAGAGACAATATATGTTTGAGAGAGAGAAAGAAAGAATGTTTGTATGTCTGAGGAGGGAGGAGATAAAAAAGTCATGTTTGTTTGTGATGAAGATA